TTGAAATGTAAGGAATAACCTGGAAAAGGAAGATGGGTCTGGTCACCCTGCTTCTGAGCAACTCTTAGGCCATACATGGCATGCTATTAAGGACCAGCTATGATTTAATGTCATCTTAACAGACACAAAAAGGACGGTGAAAGTGACCGTGAGAAAAATGGGAGTGTTTCTCTGAGGCAAACCTTAGAAAAGTTAATTTTTTTGGATTACAGTCCCCAGAGGGGAACTTGAAGACTGAAAAGGTACAAGCTCCTCCTGCGTCTGGGAAATGTGGTCCAAAAAAATGTAACTATTTTAGCCTCACAACAACCACCTTCACCCCCCCCTTTTTTTTTTTTTGCGTGTGTAGTTTAAGCCAAGCTTCGCCTCACACTTGTAGCCCCGCCTCCTGTCGTTGCCTTCAACCCAGACCTTGGCCCGCCCTCATCGCCCTGTCCCTTAAAAGCGATTGGCTGAACGAACCTGCCACTTAAACAAGGAAGAAGAAACCAGGGGTGGGTAGGTGAGAAGGCAAGGAGGAGAAGGCGTTCTGTCTGTCTCGTCTCCTCCGTCGGAGGGATGTGATTGGCTGGGTGGCAGCAAGAGAGGCGGGAACCGCTCCGCCGGCGTTCTTTCTTACGAGCCTCACAAAACCGGCTTTGCTCTTTTCAAAAAACGCCAACGACTGGAGCCTGTGGCGAGCGCAAGCGCGAGCGCGAGGGTGCCGCCGTTGAAAGGAAAAAAAGGGGGGGGGGAGGAGGGGAGCACGGGCGCGCGCGCGCGCATATGAGGGGAGCGCGCGCAAGAGAAAGCGAGAGAGAAGGCAGTTGCTTGCTTGCGCTCCTCGCGCGCTCCTTCGGTGAGGTAAAAAAAGAGGAAAAAAATAGAATATAAGGAAGAATAAGAAGTGAGTCGAGCAAAGAAGATAAAAAAGGGCGGAAGATTAAAATAAAATTAAAAAAAAAGAAAGAGGACGAGGCTTCCCACCGTCGCAGGTGAGTGAGTGGCCATATTGATGGAGGATGGAGACCTTTCCTATCTGTCTCTCTTTCCTCTGAAGGGACCTTTCCTGAGGCAAACGGGGATGGGAAACGTCCTCCTCTGCCTCTGCCTTGGAAGGCTTGCTGGGGCTGCTGCGGTGCGGTTCCCAGGTTGGGTCGCTAATTGGACTACAACTCCCATCATCCCCTATCTGGGGGCGACCTTCCTTGAGGCGAGCCGGGATGGGAAACGTCCCACTTCCTTGCCGCCTCTGGGCTAAGCCGCAATCCGCTTCATCTTGGATGACAACTCCCATCACCTCCGACCCCCGGGGGATGATGGGAGTTGTCTCCCGGGGCTTCTAGACGGGGGGGGGGGGGAGTGTTGTTGTTGTTGTTGTCTTTCATTTCCCCTCGGCCTCCTCCCTCCGCCGGCTGGAAGGTAGGAAGAGAAGCTTCGAAAAAAGTGAGAAATTAATTTTCTTGTGGAATTACTGACTAGTTTGTAAGATAGCAAAGGGATTTTTGGTGCCGATAAAATGTTTTGTGGGGCTTGCTTTTTTGTTTGTTTAAGCACTCTTTCTCAAAAACAAACCACGCTGTGCTGGGTTCAAAATCGGTCGGATGAGGTGAAGAAGAGTAAAATGGACAGCCAGCCAGTCTGTCACGTTGGCTTCGGGAAGATGGCTCTTCTGGCTCACAGGAAGTGCAGGGGTGCATCTGCACTGTAGAAACGAAGCAGTTTGACACCGCTTTTAAGTGCCGTCTTATGGAGTCCTGGGATTTGGAGCTTTAACGAGGGGTTTCTTGTCTTCTGGGCAAAAAGGGCTCCGGGGGGGGGGTGTTCTGATTTGTTGTCATTACTACCCCAATTATCTGTATCATTAAGTCTTGCTGTTTTTGTGTGCCTTCAAGTCGTTTCTGTCTTATGGTTGCCCTAAGGTGACCCGATCACACGGTTTTCTTGGCAAGGAAGGTTTGCCCTTTCCTTCCCCTGAGGCTGAGAGTGTGTGACGCGCCCAAGGTCATCCAGTGGGTTTCCATGGCCAAGCTGGGAATTGAACCCTGGTCACCAGAGTTGCAGTCCAGCACTCAAACCACTACACCATGCTTATATGGCCATAAATAAATACCCTTTGTAACAAAGTTCAGCACTGAAACCACTACACTGTACTACAAAACTACAAATCCCAGCATTCTGTAGGATGGAGCCATGGCGGTTAAAGTGGTGTTATTTCTGCAGTGTGGATGCACCCTTGTTGGTAGTAAGTCAGGGCAAGGGTTAAATTTGTGGGATGTGCTTAGCCAAGTGCAGTCACCTTGGCTCCAGGGACCCAGGCTGGACAGGTGTCAGGATTTTTGGCTTTTTGCTGGAGCAGCTTTTTTAATCGGGGCTGGTAATCGGCATCGCCTTTATCCTTGCCTAACCCCCAGCATCTTGCTTGCAGATGCTGCAAAAATAGTTACAGAGAGTGGTTCCTTTTCCATAATGTTTTTCTTCAACATCTTCTAATCTTTTTCAGTGCTTTCCCATTACCTGCACTGGTCTTTCTTTGCTGTATGTGATTACTTTGTGTAGGTGACCACATAGCTGCATTATCATACAACGCGTGCCCTTGTCTGTGGAATTAATGAACACAAGATGTCAGTCAGGTTAGTTTGTAAGATAGCAAAGTGATTATTTGGGTCTAAAAATATGTGCATCTGTGGCAGAAGTAGCTGCTGGACAAGAAAGAGAGCACCCTTGTATATGGAATAGGAGACTTTTTGCTGTGTGTGATCGCTGTGTACTTGTAGCACCTTTTGACGATACGCGGAGTAAACATTTGCTTAAAATAAAGTGCAAAATGAAACCTGAAAAAAAGTAGAACCTGTGTTAGGTTCTTACTAGACACAGTTGGCCCTTGGTATCTGTGAGTGCTCAAGTCCCATTAAATATGATGGCATAGTAAAATGGTGTCCCTTACACATAATGGCAAAATCAAGGTTTGTTTATTGGGATTTACATATTTTGGGGATATTTTCAAGCCATGGATAGTTGAATCCATGTATATGGAGGGCTGGCTGTAATTAGGTGTTAGCTCTTGAAGTACTAAAAAGTCTGTGAGTGTTGCTTTTTCTGATGCTTTATATAAAGCATCTTTCTCTGAGTCCATATTGTAGCACCTCTGTCAGTGCCAGGAGGGGTAGGTATTGCTGGGCACCTGCTGGGCCCCACCTTTTTGCAAAATGGTCACTGTCAACCTCCAGGAGCCTTCTGGGCCACCTGTTCCTCTTTCATGCTGTTGCTGCCTCCCCATAGCTCCTCTGAGCATGCAAATGGTGGCAAGTGAAAGGACAATTACTTCCATTGGGTAGGTTGATTACTTACTACCCTTTTGTACAGTGAGCTCAAGATGGCACTTATGGCTTTCCTCCTCTTCTCTTCTAGCCTCATAACAAACAGGGAGGTTGATCTGCCGGAAAGTGAGGGAGTGGCCCAAGGTCACCCAGGGAATGTCATGGTTCAAGTCCTGGACTGGACCTCCCAAGTCCAGTCCAAGCAATAGCAATAGCATGTACATTTCTATACCGCCTATCAGTGAACTCAGCACTCTCTAAGAAGTTTACAGTCTGTAAGCTAATTGCTCCCAACAAGCTCATGGGTACTCAACACACAACAGTCCCAATACTCCAGCCACTACACTAGGTTGGCTCTTAAACCGTCTTGCATTGGCTGACCATTGCACTTGGGATGACTGCTTGGAAAGTAGAATTAGTCACAGTACAACCAGTGCCCAGCCTTCACTTGCCTTGCAGAATTCGGAATTGGGGAGAAAGTGGCTCACTTGCAAGAGATGTGCTTAAGGTACCTTGCCTTTCTGAAGCTGCTGCTGACCTCTTTAATGAGAAGTTATTTAGCAGATGACTGCCTGCAAAAGGCATTGCCCTTTGGATTCATTTTAGAACAGGTTATTTATGGTGTTTCAGCATCATAACTACACCACCCCCGCATTACAAAGCTATTTTCTTTTCATGTAGTCTTTTCTATCCTCAAATCCTTTGGGACTGAGTTCAATGGAAATTACTCCCTAGTTATTGGTTTAGGATTGCAGCCTGAGATTATGAGCCCTCAGGAGGCAGGACTGGGGACATTAAGAAAAACCTGCTGTAAGTCATTCTGACTTCATGGGATAATGGCCCATTCCTTCTTAGCCAGATCAGGGCATAGCTACATAGAATGAGGCATCTTGAACTTCATCATAAAAGCAAGGTAGGAGCCAGTTCAGCATTATCCCTTCTTCATTCGTAGCTCAAGATAGGAGATTACCTGGCTGTCACTGTAGTCAGGCATAAAATTATACCACCTGTCATGCTTTTTAGTCCCTGAAAATTGTGTGTATCTCACAAGGTAAGTAGCCCCTACCAATTTGCAGGCGATACATTCTGGACACACACACCCCGTGAAAATAGAGGCTCGCAGATATTCGAGCCCCGTTGAAAATAATGGCGCACGCAGCCATTTTATCCCTATCTGCTTGTCCCTCCCACAAAGAGTGAGACCGTGGACTCAAAGTCTGTGAACAAGGAAGGACAACTGTATTTGCATTACTGTCAGGGTACATCTTTATTAAAGATGTACAATTTTGAGAAATTTTAAAATAAGAAAAAACAAATTAAGCAAAAGCCTGAATAATATGCAGTACTTATTTTCATAACAAACCATACAGATTTTACTGTTTTAGAAATATGGAATGCTTCATAACTTATACACAATATAAAATTTTACTGTTTGACTTATTTCTGAAATTTACAAATATAAAAACTTTAGCTGTATATATTCCAAACTGTGAATATATTCTGTACTAGAGGAGGGCAACTATCATGGACTGGAAGAGCTGCATTGGCCCTCTGGGAGACCTTGGAACATTATGCCCCTTGCAAAAAATAATAATAATTTCTTAGCTGCCAAATGCCCTTTGAGGGGGATGGGACAATTTTGCCATGTTTCGAGGAGGGGGGGAGTTGGCCCAAGAGATGGCCTTTCTTCTAACAGGAAGTAAGGTGGAAGACAACTTATGTTTCACTTCCTTTTAGAAAAAAGGCCTAATGAAATTTCCCTCCACATGAAGGCTAATTTCTTTTTTCAACAAAAGGTTTTTGGACCCTGTAGGGCCTCAGAAAGACTGTATTTTCTCACCCCTTCTCTGTACTAAAAAAAGTTGTATACTGCTGCATTCTCAGCTAACAAAGTGCATAACCCTTAGTTTCAGAAGTAGAAGAAAATGAACATCAACTTTGTAATAAAATAAAAATGCATTATTTGGACGGAAATAGGTTAATGTAGTTGGATTTTACGCTAGATTAGGCTAGCCGTACCGTTGTATGCAAAGCTTCACTTCACATTTCTAAGATTGAACTCTTCTGTTGTATGTTGTTGTACACATTAAAGAGCATATTAATTGTGGGCAGAAGTACTGTAGTTATAGTTGAATAATAAGCATGTTCTTAAAAGTACGAGCATCACAAGTTTCTGATCTGAATTGGTTTCAGAAAAATTAACCTTTCAGTCTGAGCATTCATTTCTGTCTTCATGTCAGTCAGAAAACATGAGGTTTACAGGAATTTGCAGCACCCACTAGGTGCACAAGTGCATCTTAGATTTGAGTGTTGTATATACGGTATCTACACTGTAGGCCCATACTCTACAGCAGGGGTAGGCAACCTTTTTGAGCCCTGGGCCGATCCCCCGAAGTCCTCCTCTCCGCCGGGCTGAGGGGGGGGGGAATGGCGGCATGCGCGCTCACGACCCTCCCTGCATGCGCGACTGCCATTTTGGAAATCAAAATGGCGGCCGTGGTGTGCATGGCCGCACGGAGGCCAAAATGCGTCGCGGCAGCCACGGCAGGGGTCAGCCTGGGGCTGTAAGTCTGGCGACCTGGGACGGAACCAGCCCGGGGGCCGTAGGTTGCCAGTCCCTGCTCTACAGTCTAGAGAGGAATGGCTCTGAAACCCATTAGGCTATCATGGGTTTGAATCATTATAGTTCCTGGCATTTTGACTGAATATAAACTTGTCTTAAAAATTATTTCACTCCCTCGGGAAGAGAAAAGAGGCCCTCAGAGGCTCCCCCCTCCCAAGTATGGCCCACAGAGTTTCAGGTTTAAAAGTTGAAAATCTGTTGGGCATGGCAAAATGAAACAAGTATTTTTCTAAACTGTTTTTTTTTCTCTCTTGCTCTTCACATCTCTGGTCTTTACTTAGAATTCTTTTATTTGTGGGCATTTTTGAGATGTTTAATGCTATATCTGTAATCTTAAGTAACTTCATATTCAAACAGTTAATAGCAGTGGTTCTCAAACATTTAGCCCCGTGACCTCCTTTATATGTACATGAGGACATTGCCCCTTCCACTCATTTTAGGAGAATCTTGGAGGGGCATTTCAGTAACCCCACCATCCTGTTTGGGTTCTGAAATTGTAAACCCCATCACATTAAGCAGGACTGAAAGTTTGTGTACAATGCATGTATGCATAGCCCTGGGCCTTAGATTGCAAATCTTTAGAAGTAAGGCCCATTGAACCCAGGAGTAAGGAGTAAGGCCTGCTGTCTTCTCAGAAGTAAGGGTTGTTAAACTCAGTGAAACTTACTTTTGGTATCACACACCTGCCACTGGGCAATTAAAGGAATGCTTTTGTAGTCACACGTGGCTCTTGTTCTGCAGTAGGCTTGCTCGCTGGTGTCAAGAGTCCTTTGGGAAGGGAAGCTGGGCCTAGTCCCACAGAACAGACTCCATAGGGCCCTCACCTCCCAAAAGTGTTCAAGGCAGTAAGGTTTTGCCATTGGCGGCAAAGAAGAGCACAGCCAGCTGCGGGGATTTGACATGCTGGTACTGCTGCTGGATCCAAGCCAAACTGGTGTTGAGCTGCTCCATGGCCCTGGTCTGCCTAGGCGCTTGCAATGGTGGGGCATCTGCACATGCAAATGTATGCATGCTGGGCTGCTGGCACAGTTGAGTCTGGCCACAAAGCGAGTCAGCTCTGTCATTATGGCCAAGTCCTCCACCAGCATTCAGCATAAGCATGCCACCTGTCAGAATGTGTTGGCCAGCCATGTATTTTCAGCACTGGCTGGCTGTAGA